CCCAGCCAGCATGCAGGCTGGGGAATTCTGGGAGTTGAAGTCCACACCGCTTAAAGTTGCCAAGTTTGAAAAGGACTGGTTTGCACTAACCTCTACCCCCTGCCCCCAAATCTTTGCCCTTCAGCCCAAGATCCTTGAAAATGGATTAAAGACCATCTTCTCACAACATTCTAGATTCCTTCCCCTTCATCCTATGATCATCATTCTAATGCACTAGCAACAGGAGAACCTTCTCACCATCTTGGCAAACAGAAAATAAAAGAGTTGATGGGACAGTTCATAACCAGAGCAGTGGGTTTCTGTCATGACGCGGCTGCAATTATCTGGAACCGAGCAGGATTCACCACCGTCCTCCCTGTTGAAAAGCAGCTTAAATTAGCCTTCCTGCCCATTCTCCCACCTGAGCCCATCCAGATGTTTTTGGTACTCCAGGAAGGTCTCCATGGTTCCTGGGAAAGGTGTACTCCCCACACATCTGGAGACAACCAGGTTTGGCCAACTGCAGAGGTCAGGTCGAAGTTGTGCTAGTTCATTAATAAAAAACCATAGCTACCTCTTACAGAGATATTTTACAGCTTCCTTACATTGTCCTCTAATATTGGGCATCAACTAGCTTCAAACTCATAATCCGCCCCCTGCCCCACACTGGCCTTTTGTAAGGCCCTGAAGACCTAATTCTGTGCCCTGGGTGTGTGATGGAGCCCATGTTGAGGGCTTTTTATGATTCTCTGACAGCTGTTTTATTTAACCCTATGTATTGTAGGTTTTTATATTATTATTGTTGTTGTTGGTCGCACAGTCAGCCAGATGTTTAGACTGGATTTGGCATTTTTATCCACCTGTCGAGTTCTTCCCAAGGGCCTGGGATTGGCAGATGTTGTTGTTTGATGGTGTTAAAGGTATCCTCGCAGGATGGAAGCTGTTCCAAGTCAAGCTGCCTTTTGCAATGGACTGATGGTGATTTTGTCAATGCTGATGGTCTTCAAGTGGTACTCCAGATGTTTTGGGATTGCACCTAAGGTGCCTATTACTATTGGTATTATTTTTATTTTAAAGTTGTGTGCTGCCGAGAGTCATGTAGATGAGATGGCCGGCCATATAAATAGAAGAAATAAATAAATAAATTCAGATAACTACTAGGTTGAAATGGAGGACAATTTCGTTTCCAACTCCAAGGTCTCAGCAGCATCATTTTCAGGCATCCCACTCTTTTCCTTCTCTCCCTCCTGAACCACTGCTTGAATGTCCTTCCTTGTCAGAAAAGTATCCAAATTTTGCTGAAGTTCTGGGACAAGAGGAAGCAGCTATCTTGCCTTCTCATCCAGTGTGTGACTACACCATCAACTTAAGCCTGGAGCCCAGATCCCAGCTAAAAGACAATATTCCATGTCTACTCAAGAATTAGTTACTTTAAAAGAGTTTTTGGACAACATCTGCAGTGTCTGCACATATGTTTTTTGTACCCAAGAAAGATAATTCTTTGAGAGGTATACATGATTATAGACTTCTTGACTCTGTAACCATTAGGGACTACCACATCCTACCTTTCATTTCAAATCTGTTGGAGTGCCTCAGAAGGCATGCATTTTTGGTCAATGGGACTTGATCAGAATGAAAAAGGGTCATGAGCTTTTGACACCAGGTATGGGAAATCTGAATACTATAAATTGGTAATTGTCTTGTGGTTGGTCTTCTCCAGATTCATGAATGAAACATTTTCTGATATTCTGGACAAATATGAAATAGTACACTTGGATGATATCCTGATTTTTTTTTTGCAGAAAACCATTCTTTGCACAAGACTCATGTGCAATGAGAAATATCCTAAGAGTGTTTGTCCAAACACAAGTTTTTGCCAAATTGGAAAAATATGTGTTTAATTTTCTCCAGCTGAACTATTGGGTTTGCTGGATCACTGTGGACAGAAGACAAAGAGATCCTGCAAAAGTACAATCTGTTCTCACATGGCAGGCACCTAGAAATGTGAAGGGTGTCCAATGTCTGCCAATTTCTGTTGAAAATTCATCCCTAATTTGACAGAATGCACAAAACCAGTCTCTCAGCTTCTAAAAAAATGACATAAATTCAAATGGTCTACTCAAGAGCAAACAGCTTTTCAGGACTTGAAACTCCTCTTCTCCTCCCAGCCTCCCATTTGTTGTGGAAATGGATGCCCCAGACTCTGTTTTGGGAGCTGTTCCCCTTTAGTCTTCAGCTGGGATGGGGTGGGATGGAAGGTCTCTTGCCTTGTGTGTTTTATTCCAGATTTCTCCTCCTCCCAGGGTGTGAGGGGGGTTGCCAGGGGGTGAGGGAGGTGTGGTGAGGCTCAGAGAGGGTGTGTGAGGGTGCACCCAACTGTGCAAGGGTGCGAGAGAGGCACGGGGAGGGTTGGGGAGGGTGTCCAGGGGTGCGCAAGTGGCCAGCGTGGTGCAGGCACAGAGGGGCTAGGGGAGGGTGCATGGGTGAAAGAGACTTACCCCAGCGACTTGTGACCTTCTCTGCTGGCTTCCCCATTAACTTTCTGGGGAAACCACCAGAGAAGGTTGCAAATGGTGATCACATGATTGCAGGGTGCTGCAACCGGTCATAAGTGTGAACTGGTTGCCAAGCACCAAGATCACGAACACGTGACCTTGAGGGCGCTGGGACGGCCAGAACTCATAGCCACCATTCGTTCAGTGCTGTCATAACTTTGAATGGTTGCTGAATGAATGGTCATAAATCAAGGACTACCTGTACAATCTTGAGGAGTTGACAGAAAGGAATTTTAGGAGTTTGACACATACAGAAGACACCAGATTAGAAAAGACTTACACTCTTTCCATCATTGTCACTGTTTGCAGCTGGGGGCATTTTTATTTCTTCCCTGCTGGTCAAACTTCTGTAAAAACACCTTGATGAAAAACACTTTGACGATAACTGATGGCAGGACAAAACAAATACCCATGGCCATGATAGAAAATAATGCATTTGTCCACAATGGCTCTAACAAAACAGGTGTGGATGGACAACCCATTTATCAGCTGTAATTCAATCAACTCATTGGTTTATTTGCGTGCCTTGTTTAGGTGTCCCACAACACAGGCTTAAATAGGTGTTCTACAACACAAGCTTTATGGGTGGCTCATGCCAGAGGCTTCCAATTTGTTTTGGCTAATAGTGCTCCTAGAATTTTGAGAAAGTATCATTTGCATTATCCTAAAATACTGCCCAGCTATTATTAGCTGTTGCATCAGAGGAGAACATCCTTGATCTTCTGCTCTCCAGATGGACCAGACATACAGTAACTCCAGCATTGGAGGTGATGGGAACTGCTATCTTAACACATTTGGGGAGGACTATTTTGAGAGAAACTGGTTGAGGGTACCTTAGGTAAGAGGAAAAGCAATGCAAAATACCTACTTAGTTCCTAATAGTGCTGAGATGCAAGAATCACTGGTTTCCAAATCTAGACACTCGCCTCTTGTCAGAGTATAAGCAATGGAATCATTTGTCTTTCTCCATTTCTGGGGAATCTTCCAAAATCCTGGTTTTAAAGCTGGAGCAAATGCTGAGGGAAAAAAAAAGATGGGAAAGAGAGGAAGGTTGCTCAGCCTTTCCTCATGACTTAGACAAACCCAGCCTGTCTTCTCAATGTGTCGGAACAACAAATCACAGAATTTCATTGAAGCAATCTCATTCCAAATCACTAAAAGAGTAGCCCATTTTTAGTGGACATTTTCATATGTTCATTTCTGGCCTGAACATAAGAGGAAGGTTGCAAGAAGTCTTCCTTCTCTGTTTCATAAAATCATGGAATCTTAACGTTAGATGTGATCTTAGAGATTCAATGCCAGAATCCTCACACCATCTTGGACAAATGGCTGCCCAGCTTTTTTCTTGGAAATCTCCAGTGATGGAGCCTATACAAAATCAGAGGCAGGCTGTTTCACTGCTTAAAATAGCTGTCACAGTCAGGAAATTCTTCCTTATTTCAAGTTTGGATCTCTCTCTCTGTGAATTTTCTACTTATTGGTTCTTGTCTTACTCTCAATACTATGGAGAGTAAGTCCACATCCTCTGTGACATCTCTTCCTGTGTCAGAAGACTACTATCATGTCTCCCCTTAGCCTCCTCTTCTTTTACCTAAACATGCCAAGTTCCTTTGACCACTCTTTGTAGGATTTACCTTCCAAGCCTCTCACCATCTCTGTTGCCCTTCTCTGTTGCCTTTCTCCAGTTCCTCAGCAATGTCTTTTGGTACTGTGGTAACCAGAACTGGACACAATGTTCCAGCTGTAGTTTGATCAGTGCAGCATAGAGTGGTACTACTGTATCACTTTCTGTCATCTTGACTCTATACCTCTGTTGATGCAGCCCAAACTCTTTGGGCAGTTGCCACACATAACTGGCTCATCCTTAATCTGTGGTCTACCAAGACTTACAGATCTTTCTTACAAGTACTATTGCTAATCCAGGTACCATCTATCTTCTACTTGTGCATCTGTTTTTCTACCTAAGTGAAGAACTTTATGTTTCTCAACACCGAACATTTTGTTGGGTACAGCTGAATGTTCAGGTCTATTCCTTTGAACCTTGAGCCTGTGTTCTGAGGTGTAAGCAATCTCCCCCCACCCCCACTGAATGTCATCTGGAAATGTTGTGACAACCCCTTCTATTCCTGTGGTCTACTTTATCATTTATTTATTCTTAGGCTTCCCTGCTGCATCTTCTGGTGTATTCCTGGGTACCCCTTCCTTCCTCGTTGTAAGGTTTCCTGCCTTTGGTTTTATTTTTGGGGTGTGATTCTAGGTAATGGTCTCCCTTCTCCTCCAGATTTAGTTTAAGGCTATCCAGATGATCTTAGCAAGACATTTTCCAAAGACATTCTTCCCAGTCTGTGAGATATAGCCCATCTCTTTCCAGAAGCTCTTCTTTTGGTATTGAAGACTGTAGTCTAGGAATCCAAAGTTATCTCAAGGACGCCATCCCTTGAGCCAGCAGTTCACCTCCAGCATCCTCTACTTCTTCCTCATACTTCCTTCACTTGGAAGTATGGGTGAAAACACCACCTATGTTCTGACCTCTTTTGCCTTCCTGCCTAGCTCCTCGTAGTCTTTAGATACAGTACTTTTCTCAGGCTCTTTCTGGCAGCGTCATTTGTTCCAACGTGAAACAGAAGAAAGGGATAGTGGTTGTTAGGTCTGATTATTCCATCACATCTTAGATCTTCATGCCTGGGAGATAACATACTTCCCTTGATAACATATCTGTTTTGCAGACTGACGACTCTGTACCTCTCAGTTGTGAGTCCCCTATCACCACCACCACACAACTTTTCCTTTTTGGGGGAGTCACTGGATTCCTTGTTTCTGTGACAATCTGATCTTTTCTCTTTCCTGTTCCTAGGATGCTATTCTTTGGGACCATCTTTTTCAGCCTGGTGCCATCTGGATGCATTAATCTTCAGAAATACATCAATTTCCAGAGGGTTCCTTTGCTCTAATAGCAACAGAGGATCACTGCAAACAGATCGGTAATTCCTAACTTGAAGACCACAACTGACATTTTAAAAAAGTTTGTAGTATAGCATTAGTGAAAAGATAAAAAGATGGCAGACCTCTGGACAAGTGGGACTGCAGTTCCCATAATCCCACCAAGTCTGAACCTCTGCTTGTAGAAGATGATGGATATTGTAGTCCAAATACATCCAGAAGATGCTAAATTGTGGAAGGCTGGTTTAAAATTACAGTATGTGTGATATCAACCATAGTGATCTAATTCAAGCTGATCTCTTGACTAGTTCCAATTTATTTCCAGCGATCTGTCCAATGTACTGTAGTCTCTCTCTCATAGACTCCCCACCAACCGGGACACTGAGCTGTGAATGTAGGCAAAATATTTGGGTATAATCTTGGCTTGTGGCACCCATATAATAAAGTCTATTGTACACAATGTCTTTGTTGTTGTTAGCCAAGTCTTTAAAGATTTATTAATAAAGCCTTTGTGGGGATCTCCCGAAACTGCCAGACTGTTCAGCTGGAAAAAGGACAGATAAGAACATGACCTTCTGCCTGGAGAAGATGTCCTTAGAGACCTAAAGGCATCCCAGACTGAATTAATCCCTTCTCATTCTCCTACTTTAACAAGAGTTTGAAACTATGAACTTTTTTGCTCTTCTATCTAGGGATGAACAAGTCTTTGTTCTTCAGAGACTGGAAACAACATCTCAAACATCTCATCAGAGATTTGAAACAACATCTTGTTGGCATGCTTCCCAAAGACCATACAGCCACTGAGTCTGTGAAGTTGAATATGCCTTCTACCAAGTATGCTGTAAGTTATGACAATCAAGATAAGATTTTTATCTGTAGTTTTAGCTTATAGGAATTAGCTCATGCTTTCCTCATGGTTTTTGGCCTTCATGCAATTTTTAATGCTTGCTTTTTAACTGTTGTATACATTTTAATGTTGGTTGGGATCCTAAATTAACAAATAACAATAATGTTAAGAGGCTTTGTGAAACTGTCACAGAAGGAACAATCTCATAAAACCTAGAAAGTTCTGAAAAATGTGATTACACCAGTTGGTTCTGATTTTGTTCCCCCTGTAAATCGCATTTATGGTAATATCTAAAACTATCAACGTGATGCAAAGTTATTCCGGCTAATTCTCAAATTTAGGGACATGTCAAGACCAAGGGAAGAAGTAACATAATCTGTTAAAAAAGCAGTCATAGAGTATAGAATTGCTGTGCCAAAGGAACAGTTTGTGATTCTCAATTATTGTATCTTAAGTACTACCAATCGCTCTGTGAAAGAGTCTAGATTCCATCAGGACAGAAAACAAATAATCACCATCACTTTTTCTGAGGATGGGTTCTGTGATTTATCAATCATGGTAAGTTTGAAGGATATAAAAGGTTTAACTATGCCGTTCACAAGATTGCTGAAACTGGAAAGTAACGAATGAACCAAGCGGGGCTGGAAGAGCGTTTGCCACTGAGAACAGCCTTCTGTTGTGCCCACATCAAGACAAATGCCGAACTCGTTAGTAACAGCTAACTGAGGCTGAAGCAATGTTTGGAAGCCATCTTCCCCTAAGAAAAAAGAAATCACACTTAAATAGTGTGAGTTAGCCAAATAGCGACTGGCTAGTCGTGTCCCACCTTGACAGTTGCATACAATCGGTGGCCTGCACGCACACCACGTGAAGTCACAGGACAGCCGGTGGCCTGAAACGTTGCAGCTCTACAGAGCTGCCATCTCAGCAGGGACTCTTGTCTGACCTCACCTCCCTTTCCTCCTGAGAGGCTTAGGTGCCATTGCGTTGTTTTTAAGCGTTCAAGGTGGGTCATGGGTTGGCTTTCGTGGGACTGGGCAGTGGGAATAGAGCCGTGGAAGTGCCCACAACTGGATTGGATTGCCCTGTTATACAACTGGTTAACCACATTTGGCTGGCTGTGTGTGTAAGCATTAAGCAATGTGTGGCAGCTTATAAATGACAGGTGTTAGGTTTGTACACAGCACTCTAAGCCATGAACAAACCAATCAGAGTTTGGCTCAACTTCACGTGTGAAAACAGCCAGCGATCACTAAGACTGATGCAACTGGACTGTGAAGGTAGGGTTCCTTCTCTTCCCCTCCCCTTTTTCCCCCTTCTCCTTCTGCTTCCGCCCCCTCTCCCTTCTCGCCTCTTCTTCTTCTCCCTCCTCCTCCTCCTCCTCCTCCTCCCCTTCCTTCTCCTTCTCCTTCTCCTTCTCCTTCTCCTTCTCCTTCTCCTTCTCCTTCACCTACTACACCAGTATAAAGCCTGCTATCATTAAGTTTCTTCAGGGAAGGAGACAGTGTTAATGGTCTAACCCTCCCTGAGTTTCCAGCTAGATTTCTTCTGGGCTATTTACAATAGAAAGACAACAATCGTCTCTCTATATTAATTAGTTTAATTAGTTCATCTCACTTTTCATAGCTGCTCCCTCCTCCTATTTTCCCCCAGAACAACACCACCTCTGAGAAGTAGGATGGGTAGGGCAAGAGTATCTAGCCTTGAACCCAGGTCTTTCTGTTTCTAGCCCAACGCTTTAACTACTTCACCACACGGTCTCTCTTTCCATGTGCCCAGCAACTGATAGTCACAGATCAGGCCATATTTTGCTGGTAGAGCAGATATCTTTACATGCAGAAAGTCCCAGATTTATTTCCCAGGGTCTCAAATTAGATTCCAAAGTTAGGAAGAGCAATTATCTGACTCAGTATAAAACAATCTCCTGTGTTCCTTTGGCAGAAGTGGGTAATTGCATTCCCAGGGTGATATGTAGTCCCCAAGCCCTCCTTTGTACCTCTCAGAGTCTCTTCGAACAACGATAGTTGAAAATCATTGCTAGTTTCCTGCTGTTTTGTGCAAAATGTTCCCCAAAGGTATAACGTAAGCCTAAAACAAACACATCATTGTTTAAAATAATGAAGCACTCCCAAGCCCAACGCAAATAACCTGGAAGATCGGGGGTGGGGAACGTTATCCTGTGCCCACACACTTTACATCACTAGCTTGCCCCCTGGAACACCCCCTCCCCAAACATGTTATGAACAGCTATTGGCAATTAAAAGTTATCTTTCCCAGTCTTATGAAAAAATTCACATCAGACTTCTACACCTAGGGAGAAATGGGGAGCTCTCTTTCCTAACCATGGTTAGCTAATTCTACCAAAATAACATTTGCTTCTACCTTTGTAAAGATCTGGGGTCTGCTTTGCAACTTCAGGGCTTGCTTTCTCAATGAAAGCCAAGAGCTTCTCCTTCATCAGTGTGATTCTCTCCCGCTCTGCGGATAATTCCGACTTAGAGTGCAATTTTTCCTGTGTTGCTTCCAAGTAAGCTAGAAGTTTGCAGAGAGAAAAGAGAGATGTACTGCATTTCAAAAGTCAAGGGAGATGGGAATCTAGCAGCTGGAATTACATTAATGGGATGCATACATTGAACGCTTTTCATTTCATTTTGCTTTGTTTTTTGAGGGAGGTGGGAAAGTAACACCAAGACAAGAAGGGTATTGATTGATTATGTGTCAAGTCATTTTTGACTCCTAGCAACCACATAGATAGATTTTCTCCAAAAAGGGGATGGCACCAGAATATTTGGCAAAGTAGACCTCTTTAGAGCATGGAAGGTTTCTATAGCCAAGCTATGAAACAAATAGCATGACAACATAGGGCAGCTTTTTCCCCAGTTGAGATGGATTCCAACATCTATCAGTCCAAGACAACAGAAGGTTTTGAATCTCCCCCATCAGGCACTCCCCAAACAGTCATTCATAGATCACCCATCTGCAACAGAGATATAATAATGTTTCCCTAT